GTTCCTGATTTACAGCATCTGCAGTTCTTTCAGTTTTTATTCAGTTAAATACTGCACTGGATGAGCACATAAGAGCCAACAAGATGAAAGGTTGTTTTTGAGCAAGTCCCTTTGTTAATTCTATCAGTAAACAAGACACAGGAGCATGCTCCTGACCTGGTCGTAAATTTGTTTAAAAAAATTCGGCAGTGTACCCAGTTAGTGAGTAACCTGCTGGCTAGTCTGCTCAATGCCAATTACCAGTTGTAAATGTGTATAAACGCATCAGGGTATGAGAATGTCTGTAGCACCTCCAATTTGCTACACTAAGCATGGGATCCCAGATGAAAGAGCTGGGCAACAAGTTTGCCCATATGACCCCAATGGAAATGCCAGCATTAGATAGTGAGTGTGAATGGAACAGGGAATTCAGCCACACAATTTTTGGCATCTGAAAGCAGTGGCAAAAATCAGCTCCATAGTTTCTGTATTCACATAACTTTTAAACTGAGTGCAATACTCAGACACAAAATAAACCACTCTTCGGGGGTAACCTGTTGAATGTCCATGCAGTCTTAGACAATCTTTTGTTATATTTGAACTGCAATGACTTTCCCCTGACAATACAATTGAGATGCAAAATAATAACATCTCGTTTCCTTTATGTTTCATTTATCATCTAAATTTTCCATCCATATTTGACAACCCATCTTGAGTTTCTTTATACCATACAATAGTTTGCAAAGTATCTCCTAATTATGTGTTGTTATTGGAATAGAGGGAAACAATTGCCCTTTTTGAAAGTAGTCTCTAGAATAAGATGGAATGCATGAAAATGGGGTACAACTAGCGACAAGCTGGAACAATATTTATCAGTGGGGTCTTTCATTTTGCATCTTTTTAAATGTGGTCAGGGTCAGAGTTATAATGCATTATGTATGAACTCAAGCTGCTGTGAGGAAGTCACTTAGAGGGGCCTTATACCTCATGGTTACTGTGCACACTGTAGTTTATTATGGTATGCCACCACTTTTACATTGTGTTCATTGCTATCCTTAATCAAATAAAGGAAGGAGATTTTAATGGTGTTTCAACACCGATTTTTTTTTTAAAGCAGAAGAAAATATCTAAAACAACACCTTTTATTCAAAGCACTGTCCCACTTTGTTGAAGAGTATAAAAACCTAATCATAATCATTTTTAGGCTTTAATAAAAGATATAAATTTGATTATCAACATGGAAAGTCTCTGAGTCGGTGAGAAAACTGAATCTAAAATTTCAGGGCTAGAGAAGGTGTAAAATCTCATTTAGATCCTCAGATGAATATAGATTGGATCCTGATTCTGTGAAGATTTGGACAGAACCTATAAATTCCACTTGAAGGCCACTTGGTATATTTTACGTCTGTTCCTCACTATGAAAAGGCAGCATCTCAGGGTATTCCTGGGCTTCCTCAAGAAAATCTTCTGAATACACCCTTTGAAGCCTTCGGTGAATACTTATGGGTGGCTTTGCAGTAAATTAGTAAACTCTGAGAAAAATCAATTGAATTCTCTGGTTACAGTGCGTCCAGATTAGGACAAAAGTTTTTTTAATTGCATGGATAAGTAGGGATTTCACTTCAGATTAATGTCACAAGAGGCCCCAGGAATTTTCTGCCCTTAATTCCTTCCCATTTAGTGTAAGCACTGGAACTTATGGAGACATTATGGAAACAGAAGTATTTACTTCCTCTACAAATTATAGATCTGATTAGTTTTGCATTTCATTTACAATTACAATTACATTTTCCAGAGCTATTTAGGAAGAAACTCTGGTTATGCCATAGTAATAGATTTTTTTAAAGAAAATTCATTGCCTGATCCTGGTTATTTTCACTTCATTTAGTTCTTAATTAAATGGAGAAAGTCAAACTCAATGCAAAAGAAGAGTGCAGAATGGGCTGCTGATTTTATGCTATTATCAAAGGTGGAGGTCATCTCTCCATTTTCAGTACATGAAGTTCAGGATTTGTATTAAAAGAAAAATACTGCAGATGCTGAAAATTTGAAACAAACACAGAAAATGCTGGAGCTCTGGCAGAATCTGTGGAGAGAGAAAGAGAGTTAATGTTTCGAGTATAGTATGATTCTTCATCAGAACTGAAATTGATGAAGAATTAGTGAAGAGTCATACTCATCCCAAAACATTAACTCTGTTTCTCTGTTCACAAATGCTGCCAGATCTGCTGAGCTTCTCCAGCATTCTCTGGGATTTGAATGATTGTTTTGGAGATCACATTTTGCCATTTTCTCCATTTTTCACTGAAAATCACAGTGATTGTAATTGAAATCTAGCAAATAGTAAGGATTTACCCTTGTTTAGATGGTGAGTTTTTCAGTGAATCCGTTCATGTGGACAAGGAAGAATGAAGTTTCAGGAGCTGTGAGTGGTCTGAAATTGACATCAATAGACGGCACAATTCATTCTGTCCAGAACCTGACAGAGGACATTGAGGTAAATCTATAAATTACATTATAACAAAAGTAAAAACAAAGTACTGTCGATGCTGGAGATCTGAAATAAAACAGAAAATGCTGGAGAAACTCAATAGATCAGGCAGGATCTGTATAGAGAGAAACAGACAGAAACAGACATCTTTCCAGTCTACTATGACTATTGTTCAGAACTGAAGTGGGCTAGAAAAGTTATGGATTTTATGCTGTAGATAAAAAGTGGAGAAGGAGCAAATGAAACAGATGGTAAAGATGCACTGGAGGGGACAAACAGTTACATATTACAGGCCCTCGAGCCTGCTCTGCCATTTGATACGATCATGGCTGATCTCATCTCGGCCTCAACTCTTTTCCTGCCCACTGTCTGTAACCCTTATACTAACCTTTACTAATTAAAACACTGTCTATCTCCTCCTTAAATTTACTCAATGTCCCGGCATCCATCACCTGTGAACGCAATAGATTCATGATCCTTTGAGAGAAGCAATTTTTCCACGTCTGTCTTTTAAATTTGCTATCCCTGATCCTAAAATTGTGACCTCTTGTTCTGGGACTCTCCATATGAGGAAACATACTTTCTATGTCTACTTTGTCAATCCCCTTTAGCATCTTACATACCTCAATTAGATTTATCCTCATTCGTCAAAACTCCAGGGAATATACTGGTTATATTGGCAAATGAGACAGACTGGTCTTATATACTTCATTTGCCTGTATTAATTTTTCAGATCATATCCTTTTATATCCTTCTGGTGTCTCAGAGCAAAAGACAAAGCTATTCTGGTAGCAGAGAAGCAATATTGTTGAAAAGTAGGTATTTATGATGGGTCTTAATAGCAGAAAATAGGTAAGCCGTACTGAGAGCAAACCTATGTAAAACAAGGTATGGGGGTGATAAGGGTGTGGGTGAGGGTGGTGGGGGTGTTGGTGATGGTTCATAAGCAAGCAGCGTTCATGATCTAAAGTTGTTGAATTCATTTTTGAATGCTGAATGCTGTAGTTGTCATCCCTTTCTTCATAATCAATGAAGAAAATGTTGCCATTTAGGGGATAATTTTACCATTCAAGGCCAAGTGCATTGACAAGGAGAAGAACAAAAATATAAAATCTTAAACACATCTCCAATCCATCCCCTTCCAGGTTTAATTATTAAATGGCACCAACAATAAGAATTTCCAAGCTGAAGTATAGTTGAGGCCAATGGCATTTCTGAAGTTTGTAAACCAGAACACCACGACAATATCCCACCAGCAGAACTGACCACTTGTGCTCCAAAACTATTTGCATCTCTAGTCAGGCTGTTCGAGTAGAAGACAGTGCTGGCACATACACAATAATGTGGGAAATTGCTCAGGGTATGTAGCATCCACAAAAAGCAAAACAAATCCAATCTAAAAATTTTTTTTTATTAATTCACGGGATGGCAGCGTCACTGTCCAGGCCAGCACTTATTGCCCATCCTTAATTGCCCAGATAACAGTTAAGAGTCAACCACATTGCTTTAATGTGGATATGCTGGTGTTGGACTGGGGTTGACAAGGTCAGAAGTCACACAACACTGGGTTATAGTCCAACAGGTTTGTTTGAAATCACAAGCTTTCGGAGCCTCTCTCCTTCGTCAGGTGAAGTAGATGTGAGGCTCCAGACACTTGATGAGTCACTCACCTCCTTACTCCCTCAAACATACACAGCAGCATAGGACTGAGGAGCAGTAGTAGGCCGTTCGGTTCTTTGAGTCTGCTATGTCACTGCATAACGTGGTCTCAACTGTACTTTCCTGCCTGCTCCCTATAACACTTTACTCCCTTGTCAATCAAAATTCTAACCAACTCAACTGGATAAATTCAATGGCCAAGCCTCCACTGCTTTATTTGGAAGAGAATTCCTCAGATTAATGTTCCTCTGACAGAAAATAAATTCTTGGTTTGCTCCTTCATCAAATGGAGGCCTCTTATTCTTGAGCTGCATTCACGAGATGTAGTCTTCCAGAAGAGGAAATATTCGTCCCATATCAACCTTAACAAGTTCCCTTAGGATAACTTTTTTTTTGTTTCAATAAGATTACCTTTCTTTTTTTTAATTCCAATGCTGTAGGCCTAACATGTTTCTGCACAGAATGAGACCTTCATCCCAGAAAAGCCTTTCTACAAATCTCAATTTGAGGAGTACTCTCTACTTGTCTGGATGAGTGCAGCCATAAGAACTCTAGAAGCTCAACAGCATTCAAGGCAAAGCAATCACTTGATCAGCACCCCGTCCATTGCATTACATATTCATGTTCTCTACTACTGATGCACAGTGGCAACAGTGTGTAACACCCAAAAGAAACATTGCAGCAGCTCACCAAAGCTTCTGTGGCAGCACCTTCCAAACTGGCAGCCTCTAGCTGCACTAAAACAGCTTGACTAGAGGTACAAATAGTTCTGGCATCTTCAATACACAGTGTGCACTTACATGACAGGAAATGTAGCAGTTTAAAAAAGACAGCTTACCGTACCTTCTCAAGGACAATTAGCAATGAGCAATAAACGTAGGCCTTGTTAATGATGCTCACTTCCCAAAAATAAATAATAAAAGTTCTAAGCAAAAATTATTTTTAAAAATGTACATAAAAGATCAATTACTGTGGTGCGTCACTCAACTGGATCCTAAATTTGCCTTAGTTACTTGTAATTAGGATTTCAACATCACTGGGGCAATTCTAATAATATTGGAGTCTAATTGGTTCAATAAAGTATCTTTAAACTATTGTTGACAAAAAAAAAAATTATTTGCTTTGGGGTTTCAAACATCAAATCGATCATCAGTGATTGTTAAATTCCTTTAAATAGGTAATGGTACAGCATGTGTGTGTTTGAAAAAACATACATAGACAAGGAAAAGGAGACTTTGACAGCACTACATTGACCTCTTCCAAAAAACTCTATCGTAAACTGAGGATATTTTCTGTTAAATCATGGGACCACATTTCCACAACATCTGATTGTAAAATAGAATGTTTCCATCGCAGATAATACTTCCTAGATCTAATGTGATGCATGAAAATCGGACAGAATTTAAGTTGGGAAACAATCTCACCACCATTCAAGTGAATGTAACCTCAGAAAGTGGAACTCTACTGATTCACCTGGAACCTGAGCAAAGCATTCCCCTGCTTCTATACTTCAACTATGCAGACGAACCAAATGAGACCAACTTTCTAGTTTCCACACAGCTACCTAATACTCAATATACTGGAGGTAAGATGAAGGAAAAAATTAAAGCAATAAGAAATAGTGGCATTAGCAAATTTTTACAGGGCGAACAGGCTACAAGAAATCAAACAAAAACTCTTTTGCTTTAATGGGTCTGTTTCTGTTAATGTTTGTGTGGAGTGCCACATTTTTGTAAACACTTTGGGAGGAATCTTACCGAGGGGTCTGCGGGCTATGCTGAGAGTAGTGGCAGATTCGAATGATAAGCCCTATCAAGGCCTATCTTGATGTTGGGCGTATCTTGTTGTATTCTTTACAAACCTGGCGTGTGGTGAGACAAGTTTCTGTCTAGGCAGCAATTAGTTGCCAACCAAGAGGGATCTTTGCTTGTTAAATGCCTTTTTAGTGACAGAACTCACTTCATTAATATTCAGCTTCCTATCTTGTCAAATGTGGAATTCTAGACACAAAAGTCAGAGTGGGCACCCAACAACTTTAGCTCACTCCTTGCTCCAAAGGACTTCCATGTTGGATATAGCACCAGTACCTCACTACATTTCAGAGTTATGATGCTCTCCACAAAGGGCTGGGGAGCCAAATGTTGGGCAGCCCACCAACCTCTTTACTCTTTCTGCCTTATTATGGGCTGTTTCCCTTCTGGAATGAGAGACAGGCAGGTACTGGGGCTGTGAAACAGGGGACAATGTTGGTGCAGATGATGTTGTTCCCAGCATGTGAGTAAGCAGCACAGAGGGCATGCAGGTTTAACGCTGCCAGGGCTTGAGGTGGGTGAGTGTGCATGGGGCAAATGTTGCTGGCAATGCTGAGAGTGGTAGATGAGTACAGAAGCAGACAGAGAGAGAGTATGAGGTAGTGATGGTGGCAGAGTCTTCCTACATTGCTGTGCATTCCTCCAGGTGGCAGAGACTGCACTGATCCAGGTGGCAACCTCGGACCAGGCTGGCATGGTCTGGTGTTATGGTCTCCACTGCTGGCCCTAGGATAAGAGGATGTCTGTCTGTGCGTCACCCCATCCACAAGGGCCCCTGGGACAAAGTGGGGCAGCAATTTCCCCTTTTTTGACATTTATGGGACAAATGTCAGGAAATGTGCAGGGCAGCTCCAGATCCATAATGCTTTCAGGGTGCACAACGTGCTTTTAAAGATGGCATGAGATGCTGGTTTCTCATTGGGTATCTGCTTCGGGTCATCTTGTTCTGGGAACGGTGCATGGTAAGATGGTAGGATGGAATCGGGTGAAAGGTGGGTAGTTAATGAGGTGAGTTCAGTAAGATGCAGTGAGAAGGCTTGCTAGGCCTTGCAGTGAGAAACCCTCCAAAAAAAATTCTAGGTAACTTGCACCTAAAAAAAATTAAGATTCAGCCCATAGAGTTTTGCAGCATTGGAGCAGATTGTTCAGTCCATCCCGCTCTACCAGCTGTCTGAAACAGCTATCCCCTTAGTCCTATTTCTTTAGTCATTCATCAGAATTTTTTTTTAATCCAAACATTTATTCACTTTCCCGTCAAAATGATACTGTTTTTCTAATATGTTTATATTTTACTTCATATTTTCCAATCAGATGCAAAATATACCTGGCTTATTTCTGCTGCTGAGTTGATACATGGAGTTGGAATATATTATTTATCTGTGAAACCTGTTCCAGATCTAAACTCTTCACAACTGACTAATATTACTGTGGCTTTCACTTCTTTTATGTCCCAGTGTGTATACTGGGATGAAGTTTACAACAACTGGAGTTCATCTGGATGTCGTGTGAGTACCTCACACTGTATTATAGCTGTCTCTGTGAAATGTAGTCCAAATTACATGATGTCAGAAAGTGCCTCTGTAATTTATTAAGTATCATTCATTCTATATAACAACACATTGATATCTGCTGGTACGCTGCAGCAACTGCATCATTGTTGATGTACATGGCATAGCTTCCGAACCATAAATGTTAAAAACATCACAGTTGAACAAAAACCTGACATGTTTAGCCAAATAAGATATTTTAAACCAGTGTGTCATGTCCGTCAATCTCACGTTTATAATTGACTGAATGCACCACTGGAACACAGAATGTTTCCCTGAAGAGTTACTGCTTGGTTTGGAGGTAAATATATAGAGTGCTACTTAACTATTTTAAGTCACCAATATTCTTTTCTCAATTATGTAAGGAAATTCCTGTAAATAATGTGCAATGTGAAATCCGTTCTATTTATTACGTGTTCTGATCCCAGCTCATGTTATTACGAGAAAAGTCACATACCAAACTGTAATCTGGCTTAATGGTTTATTGTTCTTTTATTTAGTGAAGTGGTTATTCACTGAAATGCAAGCATGCAGTGCTGCCAACTTGGTTTTAACAATAAAATAGAAGTTTATTAGATAGAAAATAAAATAGAATAAACCAACCTATTTACATATAATTACATATGATTAGTCACATAATTAACCTTAAAGCTTTTCAACTTTGAATAATCCCTTTAAGACTCTAACCAAACACTTCTGGTCTGGAAATTTCAAACTAAAATCCCTATACTGAGGTAACTTTTTTCATAACATTTCTGAATAAACACTTTTCTCTGGGACAAAATTTTTCATACATCTAACTTCAACCAGGATTTCTGTGAACTGTGAAACAAAACTTTCCAAGATAGGGGTTATTCCCCTAAACAAAAGAAAAATCAATTCCTGATCCTTCCAACTGAAACCCAGCTAATG